TCCTCCACATGGACCCCCCCTCATTAATAATCATGAGCGGGTGACGTCACTCCGCATGGAGAATCCCCCAATAATCATGAGCAGGTGACGTCACTCCACATCGAACAGCCCCCTCATTAATAATCATGAACAGCTGGCGTCCTCCAAATGGACACCCCCCCCTCCATTAATAATAGCGTATGACGTCACTCCACGGGGGGGGGGGCGCCTCCCCCCTCCTCAGTGTCAACTTATAAACCTCACGACAAAGGCAGAACACTCACGTCACACGATCTCCATAAACGCTATTGAGACATCAAAGTAAAAAGGACGTCATGATGAACAAGGGATTATAACCTTTAAATGAAATAGGTCTGTGTCACCGCGCCCTTACAAATTGCACACAAATGGATGCAATAAATATCACATCGTGGTCTGCTTTTCGCTTGCAAGTTTCAGATTTACTGCAATACACCCGTCCTTGTACAGGCAAATTATACTACATATAGCTACTTGCACTCTCATTGGTTCATGATCATTTGTTGTGTTGCTTTAGCTCAGCGGTGGCCAACTGGCATCTCCTGAGCCACATGCAGCTCTTTAATCCACCACGTGCGGCTCTATCGAAGGGGTATAACGTAGCAACATACTACCACAGTAGCAAAGAATGATCTTAAGCTAATTAAAACAGAGCATTAACAATAGCGCTTTACATATGAATGTAATGGTTGAGATGAGGCGAATAAAATAGATGAGGGAGCAATGGGTTAAACTGTGCTTTGTGAATTGGGTGAAAGAAAAATTGATGACAGTAAATGATGATGAATGGATTGAATGAATGCGTGATAGCTATATAATGTGAATATGAAGAGGGAACAGTGGTTGTGAGGTGGATAATAAGGGGCCGTGGGGTGGGCTATGGAAAATAAGTGAGTTTTGAGTGAGGAGTGGAAACTAGTGAGCGAATATTACTTCAATGTGGAGGGGAAGTTCCAGTGAAGTCGGGCGAGCAGATGAGAGCGAAAGCGCGATTGAGCACAAGGAGGAGGAACAGAGAGAGACAGCAAAGATTGAGACCATAGAGGGCGAGAAGGCACGTAGAAATATACAAGAGTGGCAAGATATGGTGGGGCTAGGCCATGGAGGAATTTGTATACCATTGTGAGGAATTTGAACAGGCAATGGTGGTACACAGTGAGCCAATGCAGTTGCGTGAGGAAGGTCGACGAATGGGAATTGTAGGGAAGGTTGAATATATGAGCAGAGCTGTTTTGGATTTGTTGAGGGGAAAAAGAGTAAATGGGGAGACCAAGCATAAGAGAGTTGCAGTAATCCAGATGCATATGGATAAGGGAATCGATGAGGAGTTTTGCAGCAGAGGTAGAAATAAGCGGTCAGATTTTGAGAATGTTGAACAAATGAAACCGGCAAATAGGGGTAGTGGCGGAATGTGATCAGTAAAGGAGAGGGAAGAGTTAAAGATAACACCAAGGTTGTGAGCTAAGGAAGTAAGGGAAATAGAAAAAGGAGCGAAATAAATGGTGGGACAGGTAGGAGGGGAATGGGAGGCATGGATAGTTTTGGATGACATACAAGATTGGATAAAAACCAGACAGGATGAGATAAAGGAGGTGGGGTCAGGGGAAACAAAAGGAAAGGAGAAGACATTTTAGATGTCATCTGTGAAGAAATGCTGGGGAAAGTTCAGCAAAGAAAGGAGAGATGCAAAGTGGTAATATATAAAGAGATAAAAGTAGGGGACCGAGAACACCCTTGGGGAACGCCAACATTTGAAGGGGCCTGGGCGAGAAGTGGTGTGATTAAATGATATCCCAGAGGTGCGCACAGAGATAGCACTGGACCCAGGAAAGTGGTGTGCTGGAGGATACCAAGATAAGAGAGAGTAGTTAAAAGAGTAGGATGGTCAACCGTGTCAAAAGCTGAGGATAGAACGAGGAGTATAAGAATAGAAGAGAGACCAGCATGAGTTGAGTTAGCCAAGTGATTTGAACCGAAAGAAGAGCTGTTTCGGTTGATTGATACGGTCGAAAACCACATTGGAATTGGGGATAGAAAGGGTTAGAAGATGCGTAGTGGGTACGATGTCAGTGTACCAGGCGTTCTTTCAGAGTTTGGAGAAATAGGGGAGAAAGAAAATGGAACGGTCATTAGCAGGAGAAGAGGTATCAAGAGAAGCTTTTTTGAGAAGCGGGGCAATAATGGTTGATTTAGCGATAGCTTGAAATACACCAGAGCAGAGCGAGAAATTGAATAGGGATACTAGGTAGGGGAGAATTCAAGGAAGGAGTCGGGGTAGAAGGGAAGGCAGGGATGGGATCAAGGGGAGAGGAAGTTTGATGGGCCTTGGAGATGTTAGAAGAGTTCTGTAATAAATGGTGCAGGGATAATAGTGAAAACGGAGTCATTTGACATGGGGGGGGGGGGGCAGAGGCTGCTGTGGGGTGAGCTAGGGGAGGAAGCTCGAAGGGTAAATCAAATAGGGTCAATCTTGGTGGAGAAGTAATAGGTGAAGTCAAAAACTGAAGGGGCATGGGAAAGGGAAGATTGGGGTAGGGTAGGTGGGTGGAAGAGGTTGAGAGTCGGTAAGAGTTCGTGGGGGGTGGTGAGCAAGGGAAGAGATGAAGCCAAGAAATAGTCTTGTATGGCAAATTCTAGGGCGTGTTGGAATTGTACATATATTGAGAACTGTCAACATATATACAATGGGTACTTTTTGGCCCTTAGTCTGTTACAGACAATAGTTTTTTTGGGGGTTAGATCGCGTAAATATATAAATGTGTTAAAACCCGCCACCACCCGACACAGCCACCTAGTAAGTGTTGTCACGTAAACAGAACGTGGCCAATTCGTCACTAGTACAGCACACCGGTGTGTTGGAGAGCCAAGCCACAACATTTACAATCCGAGTACGACGTTTCGCCAGTAATTACAACTAGCTTCATCAGGCGACAGCCAGATTTGTGGAGAAGTCTTAACGGTTTCGTTCCTTATATGATCTTTATGGCAGTACCCCGGGGTACCAAATAATACAAAACGGCCGAGGCAATTAAATATTTTGTTTCTGGGACACTTTTTTCCAGGGGTGTACCTAACTGGGGTACCAATTGCTACTCCGTGATGTCGAAACGCAGCGAGGACGATTGTGCTGAAACCCTGAACGCTCGTATGCACCGTAGTGCATCGTGTACAGCTCGTCGAGATGAGTCGATTGCCGCATCGCCGACCGTCAACAGACTAAAAATTACTGCATCATGGACATTATGTGAGAGCCGGGATACTATGGTACCCCGGAGTACCACCATAAGGTTAATATAGAGGCATAGATGTGGTGACCACCCTTCTGCGCTCTTGTGCAAAGTGGGGGGGGGGGGGATTACGGAGTCAACGTACATTATGCATATATATTTACGCGATCTCACCCAAAAAACCTCTTATGGATGATATTGGTCGCGAAAGCCTACGTGTTAGTCTGTTACAGGTTGGTCACCCCTGCTTTAGCTTCTTGGTGTCAAATTTAGGTACATAATATTTTAGCTTTTGTCGGAAGCCTCTTCTGTTAGAGGAATGCATACCCAATGAATCATTAATTGAACGAAATTGCTCTGATGCTACACTCGCCCCCCTGGCTTAACAGTATTCTGCCAGTAATGGAATGTTCAAATATTTTTTTGCCTGTCAAATTTCATATAGATTATTATGACTTACGCTGTAAGTCGAAAACATAATAGTTTTTCAGTTCTTTGGTAACTGATAAAAGGTGCGTTTGCTCAATTGTAGCTTCAAAGCCAAAACATTTTTGATGTTGTAGTTAAAGCTATGGTGGTATGGTTATTTAGAGCTGCATGAAGCAATGTGCAGCTGTCACAGGAAGCCATGTCTCAGGCAGCAGGGATTTCAAGCGAGGTTGAGGCTTTTAAGCCAGTCCTTTAAACTCCAAAAATAAGTGTTCTTACAGTGATAGTCTTGGAAATATCTCACGATTGACATCGGCCATTGTACGCTATTACAATGCATTTTAAAAATGCCAAAATGTACGAAATGTACCCTTCATATACAATATGTAGCAATACCATGATTTATTTTTCCCCCTTTTATGTTTTGCAAATACATTGTCACATTAACACTGCTACCTGATTTGTGTTGCCTAGACCCACACTTACGTCGCTCATAGCATCGTCCGTCCTTTCTCGTATCTGTCGCCTCATCCTGCGCCTCCACCTACCCTGTACAAGAACTAATTTGGGTCACATGTAAAGAAATGTACTGTAGAGTACAATATAGTATTCATGTATGGTATTTTGGTGATTGTTTAAAATAGTGTATTGTATCTTATTGTACCTTGTATAATTTGTATTAAAGTTTACTGTTGTACATTAGTGTTGAGTAAAGTGTTTGTTGCAATTTACGGTAACGTGGGCACGTCTAGAATGGAAGATGCGCGCATTCGCACAGCACCACTCTGTACCCTCCGTTGTCTTTGTTTAGCTCTCGTCGAAAAATTGCTTTGCGTGGTTTTGATATTCATCGCACTTTTCCGGAACGCATTCCCGATGTAAACCGGGGTATTACTTAATTGGAAAATGAAGAATAAGCATGTTTTTAAAGTATTGACAAAAAATATATAAGTATCACCTTCACAGCTTGTGATTTGTTTTGCAACATTCATAATTCTCTTAGAAAGTATTTTATAATGCAATTTTCATTGAAGAGGTACACCCTGTAACTTAGGTTTATAAACCCATTTCAGTTAAACCTCGCTCAATGTATCAATTATCAAAAGAGATTAAGTTTGACAGTAAATTGTCATTCCATTCATCCTATATTTTATAGTTTTAATTTAACACTTAGGTACTTAACATTATTTCTGGATTTAATATAAAAATCGATTGCTATGCAAATGATAGATGCTAGAATACTGAAACCATTGTTTTGTTTTCTGGGATGATGCAGAGGCTAATATTTATTTGCACTGTTATTTTTGTTCTTTTCTGTGTTTTTAGTTCAGTATTTTCAAGGATGGGGGCATTTTTGGACAAGCCAAAGACGGAGAAACACACAACGCACGGCGGTGGCAATGGCTTGCGCTACGCACTCAGCAGCATGCAGGGCTGGCGTGTGGAGATGGAGGACGCCCACACAGCTGTCGTGGGCATTCCTCGGGGACTAAAAACATGGTCGTTTTTTGCTGTCTACGATGGTCACGCAGGCTCACGAGTGGCCACATTCTGTTCTGAACACCTCCTGGAGCACATCATTACCAATGAGCACTTTGAATGCAAAGCAGGCACAGAGCCGTCTTCAGAGGCTGTGGAGAAGGGAATTCAGGCAGGGTTTTTACAAATTGATGAGCACATGCGCACCATCTCGGACATTAAAAATGGACTGGACCGTAGTGGCTCCACAGCAGTGGCGGTGATGCTGTCTCCCAAGCACTTGTACTTCATTAACTGCGGAGACTCGCGGGCTGTGCTCTATCGCAATGGCAGTGTCCACTTCTGCACAGAGGATCACAAGCCGTGCAACCCGGCTGAGAAGGAGCGCATCCAGAATGCGGGCGGCAGCGTCATGATTCAGCGCGTCAATGGCTCACTGGCCGTGTCGCGAGCTCTCGGAGACTTCGACTACAAGTGCGTGGATGGGAAGGGCCCCACGGAGCAACTGGTGTCACCAGAGCCCGAGGTGCGGGCCATCGAGCGCAGCGATGGAGATGAATTTGTTGTGCTGGCTTGTGATGGCATCTGGGATGTCATGTCCAATGAAGAGCTGGGTCAGTTTGTGCACTCCCGCCTGTTGCTTACTGATGACCTCGAGAAGATATGCAACCAAGTTTTGGACACTTGCCTCTACAAGGTATGTTTAGGTGTTGTTGATTTCACCTGATAGCAAATGGCGTAGTAGTATTTGGGATATAAATAGACACACGCTTTGGATTGATGTGTGTATTCCTGTTGGCCGGTTAGAGCCTATGCAAAAGCCATCTCACACTTTCTCAATCGGGATAATTAAACTGTAGGTTTGAGTTTGCTGCTTGTGCATGTGTTTATAATTGAGTAACTCCCATTGTGTTTCTCTGCCTATTTTGAAGGAGCTGGTGTCGTAGACCCTCAGTGCAGTTGTTGGTTTGCCCATTGCAGGTGAAACACGAGGAGTTCACTTAATTTAAAATTACAATTAGCATTCTCTGCAACCGGCTGTCACAAATTTGACTTTGCCGTTTGAAAGACCCAACGGTACACATAATTAAACGCGTACCCTCTAAAAGTTTAAAAATTAAGGGTGACAATACCTTTGGAGTGTTTGTTTATAGATACCGCATAGGCCAACTGTCTTGTAACACTTATTAAATATGCAAAAGGATCATCGTGTACATTGGCCTTGAACCATTTGCTATACAGTACCTAAACACACGGGTGTGTTCTGTAATTACAGTTTTCTTTACTGTTGAGCTTGCCTTTCCCCTGAACTTTAGGTTTTACTTAATTTTGCTCATTATACATATTTAAATTGATGGCCTCTTAGCCCTGACTTGAGATTCAAGAGCCCAACTACATTATGGCCCTGGTTCATTTGACACAATGCTTTTTATTTGTTTGCTTGCATTCCTGCCAAATGTGTATGTGTATATGCTCTGATCATACCATATAATTAAAAGTAAATTATAGTAGACATTGATTTATATGGTGTTCATGATGCATTATGCTCTTTTTGACTTATGTGTATTTGTAAAAGAATGTAAAAAGTTGTGCAGTGTTATAACTGGTAAGGAATTTTATGCCAGCTGCTCCAGGGACACCTGTGGAAATTAAATGATGTCCCACAGTTTTTATGATGATTTATCATCGATAAAGTGATAATAGCTTTTAATGATCTAAGTACTACATGTATATACACAACATGATTGTTTTTAACATCTTATAATATACAATTTTTATCAAATGGCTGAAAGTATTTCACCAGTGTAAGGAAGTATGGTCAAATTATCCCCATGGATATGTGACATGGTGTGGGGTAGGGTCCTTATCACATAGTGGCTTGACAATATAACGTATTTAATTAGTTAATTATATATTTTATTGATTTAGAATTACGTAACTGAACCAGTGATGTGACATAGTGAATAAAAAAATGTTGAGCTACAGTGCTAGGGTTCACTCTAATTCTTCCCAGATAAAAATGTGGCTTTTCCAGTGGTGTCCTGTTTCCTCTGTCCTTAAGACAATTTTTGTTGCCCCCGAGTGAAATGTCGAGGACTGCAATGCTTAACCTGCTGATTTGTTTCGACCACAGGGCAGCAGGGATAACATGAGCATCGTGCTGGTGTGCTTCCCCAATGCTCCCAAAGTGACTGTGGAGGCTGTGGCCCGGGAGGAGGAGCTTGACAAATTCTTGGAAACCAAGGTCGAAGGTGAACAAAGCTTGTCAAGAAAAAAACAAGATGTGAAATTATTGTTTAAATTCACTCAGTTCTGAATTTGTAAATTAACTCGTCAAACTTTCAGCTAGTTAAGGATTGAATGGATATACATGCTTTGTTTTAATTGTTACTGATAATGCATGCGATCATTGGTTAAACTATTCACTGTAATGCGGCTGCACAAAGAAAATAATTGACATGGTTCAGTTTCTGTGGGATATGTGGACACAACGAGATGCGTCCTGTTGCTGGTGTGATTGTGCAGAGGTTCTGGAGAAGCACACTGGCGAGGTGGCCCCTGACCTGGCCTCTGTGATTAGAGCCGTCTCCGTAGAAAACATCCCCAACCTTCCACCAGGAGGGGGCCTGGCCAGCAAGTAAGCTTAATGGTGTTCCAAACACATGGTGCTTCCATTATTAATCACGACAACATTTGTAACAATCCTTAGTCACACTAAAGCTTATGAATGCATTTTATTGTATACCTACGTGACTTTAACGAAATAATCAACGAGTATAATGCATTTGAATTAATATATTTTTTAAGTATTTAACTTATTAGTTAACAATTCACCTGAACAATATTTACATTGACATTTTCAAATGTTTTAACATTTTTAATAAAATACAATGTATCAGAGGGTGGAAGTTTTAATTTCACAAAGCAGGAGCTAATAAATAGTAGTTACAGCTGTTTAGTATTTTGCAGTTGTGAGTGTCTATGGGAACTGTAAAAAAACTTGGCTGAATGAAAATTGGAAGCTTTGCTGACTGTTATGGCCCTTGAGCCTTCATTGATCAGAGGTTTTGATTAAGGTAAATGTTTTCGCAATTAACTTAAAAAGTGCTTACTCTGTCAACCAGACGCGTGTTGATCGAGGCAGTATACAACCGACTGAACCCTCACAGGGAGGACGATGATGGGGTGAGTACACGTGGCAAGTATAGCTTTTGCCAAATGTAGCATACTTCTGTTGCAGTTTAAACTAAAAACCAAAGTTACCCAAGCTCCTATTTTGTTTTGTTTGTGTGCTTGCTTCCTTCCTGAAGTTACATTTTTTATAGAAACTTGTGCTTAATGAGGAGAACTTCAAAAATATTTTGGCTGCTTTAAGCCCCCGAAAGACTGTTGCAAGTTGGGGCTAGAGATGCTTATATTTGAGCAAAATCTGATTTACTGCTGTTATGTGCAAATATGTTACAAAGCATTTTTAGAAACGACATTTGCAGCAGGGTAAAAGTGTTGGTTTGAAAATATTTATGCGAGTGCAGTATTTAACAAATCCTGACTACTGCAGTACAATTTTTTTTTTACCTTGCACATATCACTGTTAACTATCAGGTTGAATACCTTACCCAGGTCTTGCAAAATAATTAGTTGTCTCTCAGATAATGTTCTTGATTAATAATGCTGACTGCATCTGATGCATTTTTTTTAAATTAAATGATAATGCTGACTTTATGCAGTAAATACACTTACATATGTAAAATGTATTGTTATTTTGTGCTAACATTAAGGTACTAGGCAAAGGACTGTTGGTCATGTTTTCTAAATACTTGTTAAGGTTTTATATCCTTTGGGTATATTTTATAGTAATGGGTACATGTACAATTGCTACCAAATCCATTGTTTAAACTGAAATCTTTTGTTAAAATGTTCTCTGGAAAGGAACAGTTTTGGTTCAGACTGGTGCATTCCTGGGGTGCACTGTTTTTAAAAGCTAACATCAGTGGGGGAGTGGGCCATCGCTGACATTGGGGTTTTAAATCCAGTCGCAAGCGAGTGGTGCCGAGAGTGAGGCCAACAACGGGAAATCGCGACGCCGCAAGTTGGTGGAAACACTGCGTACGCTGAGGTCCAACCATCGGGGAAACTATCGGCGGCTGCTGGAGGCCTCCCTCGCCAGCTACAGGGGAGAAAAGCAGCAGGGTGGTGACCCAGGACCCTCACCCACAGTGCACTACACCTGAGCTGGACGATGATTTGACTTGAGCAGTTTTCAGGTGGGGGGGGGGGGGCTTTATTAATGGCTGCGTGTCTACTAATGACTTCCCATCTCATAATATGCCATTAGTTTGCTGCATTGCAAGAAATGCAGTGATATTTCCAGATATTTGAAAAAATTATAGAATGTGTAGCAAAAAGAAGTCTTGTAAAATTACATTGAATGTGGATACTTGTTTTTTCAAGCCTCCACTACAACAGCAGTACTGGAAAAAAAGTTACTTCAGAATAGCAGGCTTTTTTGCTCGTTTTTCATAAAGTGTTATAGAATGTCTCGACAAAATTAACCATTTCCTATTTAGTTATTTTATCAAGATCAGTTTAATATGTGGCATCACTTGCCTGAAAATGATCACAATCAGAACATTCTTAATGCAAAAAAATGCACAAATGGTCATATTGAAATTAACCTTCATTCAAATATATTAAATTACTCAAATGCATTGTTTTGGCCTTTGATACTGTACGGAGCTTAGTACAATGCTTGTATGGCCACAACTCCTTATTTGGCGTCTGTGGAATGCAACATTTTTAATATTGTAAAGGAAGCTGCATCTACTTAAGCCAAATCTCTAAAAGCACCGTTAATTGTGGATGTTTTTCACAAGTCAAATACACCCTATCACAGTTTCCCAAATCAATTTCCACAGGTTTCAAAACAGGATTCTCTTTGCAGCCATTTCTTTCAAAGACATACATTTTGCTATTTACATGTGTACACAGTACAAATGAAAATAGTTTTTCATTGGTGTAGCAAAAGGCTGAATATTATTTTTCCGTACGTACTGTATATGTAACTTAAAACATTCAACATGGATTTTACCAAGTAATTTGGTATCATTGCACCATGAAAATAATTTTCATGTCTAGTCTTACACAATTTTGTTAAATTAACAGTCCTATGGAATTTAAGTGTAATGAATATTGCATTATGTATTATTATGGTGTTATCTTGTTCATATGCGATTGTATTTCATTTTTTCTGGAAGTAGTGAAGTTAAGGTAGAACACATGCTTTCTTATTGTTGCACTCATGACACAAAGTGCTTGCCACAAATGAGCCACAATACCTTGCTGATCTCATCAAGGAGCATAAACCATCACGCAAATTCCGGTCATCCTCGCAGCGCCTGTTGGCTATACATCGGACAAAGATGGTCACTGCATCATATGCTTTCAAATGCGCTTCTGTGGCCATCTGGAACGCTCTTCCTTCCGATATTCAGAAGCCACTGGAGCTATGCAATTTTAATAATCTTGGATTAATAACCAATTTCTTTAGAACTGCTTTTTTGTTTAGTTTCTCCTTCCCCCGCACCTCCGATTAGCATGGTTGGCTATATCGGAGCGAAAGAAGTTCACAATAGAAACATGTTTTATGTGACGGCTTAGAAAGAGACGTTTCAGTAATTTCTTACACTGCCTGCTTATGCACAAAGGAATACTTAAGCCCTATATACTCTACATCTCTATTACACTTACATGTTATCGCCAATGTATGATGCCATGCAGAAGACTGAAAGACCCAATGTGCGAACTGCATTGGCGATCTTATGAAGCCTATATAGAATCGTGATTAATGAAATTTGGCATTGAAACTAAAATTCTGCCTTTTTCGCAACACATTGAACTATTAAAGAGTATTGAAACCCAGATAGCAGTGTGTAGGGCTTCAGTGTTCTTTGGAAAATGGGTGTTTACAAACATGAGCATTTCTACAACTGTGGTTGATATAGCTGTTAATTCAAACCTGTTAAAGGATATGCTGCAAATTTCTGTATTTTAAAGTATTATATTTGAGAGAACAATTTTGGAGAGCTATATAAAATCGGTGCAATGTTAAACCAGATTAAAGTTACTGCAGTATGTAGGCAGAATAGATAAACTTTACTTAAGATCCTGCTGTTTGAATTTTTGTAGACACATGGACTGTTTGTGCTTGTCTACCGATGGTTGAACTACATGCCAGCATTTCTACCGAGTTCACTGTTGCAAGCAATTGTTATTGAAATAACTCATGGCATCAATCCAAGAGGCTAGAGGAATTCATCAATGAATATTTGTTGGAAATGGCCTTAATTGACCTTACAGAATTATTACATTTTGGTATGTCTTTGTTTAAGTGTGTGACAGTTCTTGCGGTAACGGCATGTTATAGGTCGTTCTTTAATGGTGTGATTTCTTGTATTTGATGTAATTTGTGAATTTATTTTCGACTTGTACCTAGCTACACTTGGGCTTTGTCTGCTAATAAAGGTCACGCGGTTTGTTCATTTGCAATGGATGTGGCAAAGGTTTATCAGGGTGTATGTAGTGCTGTATGCAGTGTTGTCCTTTTCATTGTCAACACAGCACAACTATGTGCAAACAGTTGTTCACTTTTAGTAATTCTATTTACCAAATACATTATTACAGTATACATTTACCATTACTTGGTATACATATGGAGTTTAAGCCTGAATATAAGCACGGCCAGGTGTTTATATTTGAGGTGTGCTTGTGTCTGCAGTTGTCTTTTGTCTTCCCACCAGTGTAATGTAAGGATGTTACTTATATAAGGTGCGCTTATATCCAGCTTAAACTGCATTTAGACTCATCTGCCTACAATGCTATTGTTTACATTAAAAGTATTTCCATATATTTTAAGTGCTGTGTTTGGTAGGAGAAGGCTGTGGTTGCAATTATTTGGCCACTGTATGGCTGATTCTTAACTTATTTATGGAATGATGGAACTTCACAAGGGCATGTTGGTGATCTTTAAAGAAATGGGTGTACTTGAATATATTTTTTAAGCCACGTTTGAATAATGCAAATACATTGCAACCAAATGGTTTCGTGATAACTTGAAATTACCTTGTTTCAAGAATTTTTGATGTTGACTGTTCTTACAGTTACATATAAATTACAACTTGTGGACCAATAGTAAAACAAAATTCGAACGAGCACAAGTGAGTAGTGTATGGCATTTTTTGCATGTATGTTGATATTCTGAACACTAAATTGCAGTTGTCTTGTTTTTCAGGGATCCCTTGACACCTGGTAATCGACTGGTGCCTACACAATAATCTATACATGTACATGAATGCAGAAGTGTGAAGCCCATCAAGAAGGAGCTCGGCTGGGGGTTTCGCCCACGATTTCTGGTAGATCTGTGGCTGAACGTGGAACTGTATAAAACCGGTGTCAGTCAACAAGTGCCACACAGTGTGATCTTTACTATACATCAAAACAATATTCGCTAGGTAATATTACAGCTGTAATGATTTCGTTTTCTTTCCCGTTCAAAATCAAAATCATAATTTAAATTCACGTATTTAAACGTACAGACTTGTTTTATGACTTGTACAACAACGGTTTCCATTCCTGATTGCAGTGATGCTGAATGCTTGATGCTGCAGAGAAATATGTTTTGTCTAGCACCTTGTGTTTGCAAATTTTATTGGCGTTTTTTGCAACTAAATTCATTGGTCATGCACCAACACTTTTTTTGATTAAGACCCCACCAAAAAAGTAAATGTAGCTGGTGCTATATAGTCAATAGTGTGCGGGCTTTAAAGTCACACTGTGCCCTGACATGTCATATTTGCAGCATGAACTTTTGTAGCTAATGTGGCCCATTGCTTTCATTGCTTGTTCTCTTCCATATATGTAAAAAAACATCATGTTATTGACACTTTTGATTAGTTAGGTATAGGTATGTAAGCAACGGTATTTTGTACGTTTTGTGTGTTATATAAAATGATACACACTTTCCAATGTGTGCACGTGTGCTGACATCCAAAATACAGCAATATGTACATGCCAGCTCCAAGCTGATACCTTCTCTTGGCATTTTGTGCTGTGGAACTGTCACATTAACGTATCTTGCAGATTGTATTGATTATCTGTACATAATAAATAACTTTCCTTTAGGATATTGATAAACATAAGATTGCTTTATGTATTGACAACTGTGGAGGTATGTTAATGGCTAGCGATAGGATTTTTTGTTTGTTTTCAATCTGCAGAGGGGTATGCATGACGGTATATATGATGGTACTTGGTGAAAGTATAATCGGGGATGTTTTAAGGAACAAGGCGAGTACAGCAACTGCTTTGAATGCTAAAGACTCGTACCGCAGCACATGTTGCATGTCGAGATTAAAGGGGGATGGAATTGCAGGTGGACTACGTTATTAAATGCTGTGTATATTTTGCTAGTAGTGTGCAGAACTGGGCAGGACAAGGAAGACTGTACAGTGTATAGCTGTGAGAATCTATTACACACGAAGTCATCAATGGCAGGTGGTTGTTTCATTTAGTTCAAATGGACTGAATGTATTCAATAAAGAAAATACTTCACAATGACTCCCACATTGTTACCCGAATCCATAACCCCCACCACTCCCTCAAAGTCACCTGGCATCCAAGAGTATTGTACACTTCAGAATACGTATTTGAACAAATAGTACATCTAGAAAAGGTTTATAGGGGTATAGTAATGTGTTTATAAAGTACCTTAAGCATGTCTGTTGTTAAAAGATAACTTTTTAAGTTAACATGGTAATTAAATGTTTAAAAGCAAATGGTCCATACATTTTATTCCAATTGGCTAAGTTTGAAATGTACTTTTGAAAATGAGCATAAATAGTTGCACTTTGAGGTAATGTTACCATACTTATAAGATGTAAACAAACATGTTAAAAAAATTAAGTGCAAGGCTTTGTTTTTAATGGTTTAACTAAATGCTATTGTTTCGTGAAAGGTATCAAAATAAAATACACAGCAGCAATTTTTGCAAAACGGTGTAGTGAATATATTTCCACGTGTTGTGGACTATATTAATGCATTGACATTTTGCATCCACTCATTTAGCTCTTGTAACAATCCCATGGTTTTTAAAGGTGGCGTTCACGTTTTATGAATTAACTTGTACGCCTTTCTCGACACAATTGCAGCCAGCATTGCTGCACTGAGCCAGATGGCCAACCAGCGGTCCTATCTCATCACCTGAAGATAAAGGGGCATTAGCTGTGTCAAGCCCGTTAATGCAGTATTACACGTTCTTTTTGGTGTGATTTAATAGATGCCTCAATAAATTCACATGTAATTGGTTACGCTCGATTGTCCAACCACATTACTCTGGTTAGATAATTTCTGTCATTCGCAGTCGGTCACGTAAGTGCTGAACATAGACATGTAGTCTTGCACCTTTGGATCACATTAAAATTGCTTGTAACGTCTTATTAGATTGAGTTCGCATAAATGACCTGAGTCTCAGTTGTGTACACAAGTCTGCGTGCTGAAAATCTGTACACGATTGAGATTTGTTTGGCATATGCAACTTGACCCTTGATTTGATAAATGCATTAAGCATTCGGAAGGCTTTGCTCCCACGGATTTTGTCGAGAAAAGATTGTCTCATGGAAGATATGCAGTCGAAAGTTAAACACGTTTCCATATACCACACGTTCGCATTTGAATACATTCTCTGTAGTTTTCATAAATTATATACTCAACAATGTAATGCAGTATTCTCTGATATGCCGTAGAGGTGTTATGAACCCATGATTATTAAAATGTTACTGCTGCGCGTCAGCCTGCTGGTTTGTAGCATGTTTGACTTGCCTATCAAGTCCATGGTTCAAGGCTCCACCTTGGCCCTGATAACATGTGGAGATAACATATGATACGCTCTGCGTGCTGTGGGGGGGTAGCGCCTTTTTTTGGTACATCAAGGATGGCTTGGCCATTGTGGATGTCATAAAATATGCTTATGGAACTGGCACAAATGTCCAAAGTACATAAAGCATGGGGTTTTAAAATGTCGGCGTAGTTGGTAACATACACAAATACGGTTTCAAAGAAAGCTCTATTAACCTCAACTCAATCCTGCAGCGCACCACAATGTTTAACCGTACGTTAAATGTACCTGCAATAATTACGCCTTCGATTAACACGATTTGCTATGTACGGTGCAAAAGAAGTTCAACTTAGGTACATGAGAGCTACTACTGTACGCAAATGTGCCGACTAGATTCTGTTGTACTGTACTTGTGGAATTTCATATTTGACGATCGAACATGACAAATCATGTTCATACAAGGAAACGCAACTGAATCTGCTTGACACGCTCGGCCAACGAGTGCCACCTTGGTAACCGTGCTTTGGCTGTTCTACCCCCTCCTGCTTCTGGCTATAAATGAGCCTGACGTGGCGAAACAATTTGTTACCACTAATGTTTTATATTGTACCCACACATGGTTGCACTGGTGGCTTATATGCTTCCCTCGGGGGCAAAGATTAAATCTTATCCGACCTATGCCGTGCAATTTGTAAATAGGTGCCAACTGCACCAGTTGATTAAGCCTAAAGGTCATAACTGATCGGAGAGACTGGTCCCCACCAGAGGCAAATAGAATTCCACCACTGACTTGAGGACTGCCGTTGGAGACGAGATCTGCCCGACATTCTTTTGAGCCTTGAGGCACATTGAATTGTAACTTATCCAACATCCTAGAAACAATGTGAGCAACAGCACTTTATTCTGTGCCGGTGTGTTTTTTTAATTACAATTACTGTCGCTAAATGAATTGAGTGACTTCTTGAATTATGAGCCGGAAACAGTGCACCTGGACAAAAAGTAACAAGAAAAATGTTGAAGCCATTGCCACCTTTTGAGAAAAGTACACGAATGATCACCTCTATATCATGCAAGGCTTTCATGGAAATTCCATCCCTCACCAAGGGAACACTTTATTAATACAAATATGAATTATTGCAAATAGCTTTGAAAATGGAAATTAGGCCATGGGCCAATAGGGATGGAGCGTGTTTACAGCTTAGGCTGCCACTACAGCATGTCCAATTTTAATATACTTGGGTGATGCAATGATCCGTTAATTTATCAATTAAATAAAATTGTTATAATCATACTCTCCAGACTGGATGATCCACAGTGAAGTTGCCATATACAAGATCAACGTCATCCCGACATCCTGTCCCTCCACTGGCTCCCATTCTCAAAGTTGTCCATGCTGTCGACTTCCTGCCCCTGATCAAGTCCAAGCTCAAGTCCTGCATTCCTCTACTGATGACAGCCTCTTTAAAAGAACAATTCCCACTTGCTGTACAGCATCTTCAGATGTGGACATATTAACGATGATACATCCAAATTATGTTGTATGATAAATGATTAAAATTGTGTTGCCATTCCGTTACCAGTGGCACGTGTCCTGTCCAAGATCAACTTAATGGCTTGTTGGGGCATGCATTAGACTTACCTTGTATTCGTTTGAGAGCATTGTGACCTGGACAACTCCGTCTGCAGTAATCTTGAATCGTAAAACTGCATGATTCATGGAGCGAATAAAATCCCTCTTCCCCCATAATTTCCATCTCCTGGAATAGAAACTTTACCACTTTCATTGTCTGGAGTTATTTTCTCACCTCGCTGCGTTAAACTATGGCGCGATGTATTTCTTTCAGTGCTCTGTTTAGTTCGACAAGGTTGGAGTTGTAATAAAAAAAGTATTCGTGGTGTATGTAGCAAGTGTTAACGTCAGGTGTTCTGCTCCTACCATGCAATTCTTAGCACCCCCTCCCCCTGCTCGTTCACATTCCTAGTCGACGTCACGACCCTGAGTCGTGAATTTAGTGGATCTGTCATGACGACTGTTAGACCATAAACTTCACTACGCTGGCCAAGTTGGCATACGTACTCAAAAATTAGTGAAACATCCAAATAGCGTTTAATGCGGTAATATTTACAATATATCAGAAACTATCCTGTCAATGCTTCATTTTGTAATGGACATTCTGCCCAGTCACAAAAGCATCTATCCACCATGTGGATCCATTACAGTCGATGACACTTCCATTTGGCGTCGGCCATGTATTGTACCGTTCATAATTTAATCATTTTGTCAATACACTGAAATATAAATGCCTCACCATCCCCTGATGGTCATGGGGTGCGGGAGGGGTGGTGGTTATATGGCCATACTTCACCACAAACTGAATGGAGTTGCCCAGCAACGGATGACACCTGACTCGTGTAAGTTGATGTCAGCCTATTGCCGAGAGTCGAAATCGGGTGAACACTTAACGAAGCGGTGCTGTAACACCCACTGGAGGGAAAAAAAGTGTGTCTGAAAACGCTCGGAATGCCAAGTAAACATTTGCATTGCTGTGAGCGCTTCGGGGTGAGCACAAACTAAATAAATGTGTTTTTATTTATTTATTTACGAGAAAGTGGTGCACTTTTTCTGCGATTTAAGTGGCCTCTGGACAAACTGATGGCGAGGGAATGTGGCTCGCCCTCCCCCTCGTTCTTTGGTAAATGACTTCGGTCTCACTTGATATCGGCAGTTCTCAACCCGTGGCTCGCCCCCATCACCCTGGGGGCGGTGGCAGGCTGCAGCATGGATACCGTGCAGAATAAATTACTAATGCAGTATTCGATTAGTGGCCTCCCGAAGGCTCTTCTGGTGTATCGCTACACTTCTCGTCCGATGCTCGATCAGGATTGAGCCGCGTATTGTGTGTTTGTGTTGTTTGCTGCTGTAACTTGCTGAACCGCCCATACTGGACATCTTGCAAAAAAGAGCTTAATAGCTCGTCGGATTCCTCCAGTCTAAAGGAAGATTCTGATTTTCAGAGGGATATCCCGACAGAGTTTATGTTTGTCAGACGGTGCTGATGATGGACGTTATACAATGCAGTATTTACCTAAATCACCGACGCAGATAAACTTGGCTAATATGAAGCCCTGCACATTAGATATGTTGTCCCTACACTGGATATTCCCTCCTATTATATGACACCTTGCAGGTTCTTTAGGGAACAGCGTGTCAGGTGAATGTATGTACTCATAATAATCTACACTACTGGATGAAGGCCTTCCTTGTGCCGTGTCAATCATGGGAGGTAGGGTGGTTGTTTTTTTACCATACTTCACCACGCTGGTCAGTGCGGGTTGGTGGTGAAGTTGGGCCCCCCCCCAACCCACCAATGATCGCTCCAGATTTCACCCGGCCCTGCGTGGTATCTGTGATCGCGAAGAGAATTCAGGTCGCTGGGTGCATTGCGGCAGCGCGCTAACCACAGCGTCTAAAACGAAGTCTAATCGTGCGGTATACGACTAAAATATTAGATTGTGCTTCTCAACACTGGATTCGGTGCTCCCTAAAGCGCTCCGCACGGAAGTGTAGGAGCAGCGTGCGTCTGTTGATTGTTAATGCTTTGTTGTCTTGGCAGCGGGAGCTCTGGCTGCGCCGAAGTTATATATATTTTTTCCCCTGAGAAGATAATACAGCGGCAGGCTTTGCGGTATATATGGGGCCGTCCATAAATGACGTCACGCGATTTTTGACCCCCCCCTTCGTCACACGGCGTCACAAAAAGTCAGACCCCCCTCAAATATGACGTCACAAAGCTCTGCCCCCCCCCCCCCCCCAAAAAAACATGCTTCAAATCGCTTTAAACTATTGTCAATGTAGTGCGTATTTAATGTGGCGCTGCGCTCTGATGTTGTAGGAGAAAACATTTATTAAAAAGTCTATTTCATGAAGTAGAACGTGTCTATATTTGTTTATAAAGTTGCGCATTTTGATGTGACGTCACATTTATCACCCCCCCCTCCCTCGTCACACATCGTCACAAATGTCTGACCCCCTCCCCCCCACCCCTAGGTGCGTGACGTAATTTATGTACGTTGACGGACCGTCTATCGACACAATTATAGAACTTGTGCAAAGTGGCGTCGAGCGGTTTGCATGAGCCCGAGTGGTGACATGGGACCCCCAATTCCAATCCCGCGCCCTCTCCGTGGCCTCGTGGCTCCTTGCCTGCAATGCCACCGACCGGCAGCGTGCGGGCCCTTGGCGCAGTTGCACCGCCTGCACACCGGGGGGGTAGCCAACGCCAGCACGTGCAACAGTGCACCGTACACACACACACACCACCACCACCAAGTGATGGATTGCGCTACGCAGGAGACGGCGGTCACGTCCAACGTTGAATTTTGCCGGTTACCGCTGTGCGCTAAAACTATGTTTACAGTCGAAGAGGAGTTCCATTCAGAGATGTTTTAACGCGCTTAACCTTTTTAAAAAAAAATTATATATACAACTCTTGAGTAGTTTATAATCACTGCATAATTTTAACGAACGAAAGGGTTTTTTTTGCGTTCGCAGTGACGAATTAGAAAAAAACAACGAAAAAAACCTCAACACATTCGTTCATAACAGCCATAATAGTTAACCCCCCAAAAATATATATATATATAAATATATAACAGACGACGTTTCGGCGCAACGCCCCTTCGAACCTCTGCCACGAAGACCCCGACGAAAGGACCGTTACCCGAAGCGTCGACTACCCTGCACCTTGCTATCAACAACACAAACGCCGTCGGTCGGTACGGTCGGCGGGACGCACCAACGGCGGCGTCGGTGGCGGCTCAAAGGCCGCGCGCGAGCCGCGTGCCGCAGTGGCCGAGCGCGCGCCCCGTCCGGCTTCGCGGCGCGCGACCTTTGATCCTTGGCGTGGTGGTGGTGGGGGGGTGGTGGTGGTGGTGGTGGCGAGCAATAGAAGTA